ATATATATATATATATATATATATATATATATATATATATATATATATATATATATATATATATATATATGTAGTGGTTATTTGAGTTGTTTTCAGACGAGTGTATACCAAACCGGGCAAGCAGAAAATTCTACATGACCGCTGCTGGGATTCGAACACGCGACCTTCGTATATCTAGAACGATGCTCTACCGTCTGAGCTACAAGGTCAAGCTGAGAACGACTTGTTAAGTTATGATGTTAGTTGCATTTCGGAGGTTAGTCCTTCAATGCGTAAATTCAGCTATTAGTCTGGCAATGTTGTATGTGAATGTTGTGGTTTCCCACGTTTACGTACAATTCCACTCGTGTAACGTTATGTAGTGGTTATTTGAGTTGTTTTCAGACGAGTGTATACCAAACCAGGCAAGCAGAAAATTCTACTTGACCGCGGCTGGGATTGGAACCCGCGACCTTCGTATATCTAGAACGATGCTCTACCGTCTGAGCTACAAGGTCAAGCTGAGGACGACTTGTTAAGTTATGATGTTAGTTGCATTTCGGAGGTTAGTCCTTCAATGCGTAAAGCCAACTATTAGTCTGGCAATGTTGTATGTGAATGTTGTGGTTTCCCACGTTTACGATTCCACTCGTGAAACGTTATGTAGTGGTTATTTGAGTTGTTATCAGACGAGTGTGTACCAAACCGGGCAAGCAGAAAATTCTACTTGACCGCGGCTGGGATTCGAACCCGCGACCTTCGTATATGTAGAACGATGCTCTACCGTCTGAGCTAACATCATAACTTAACAAGTCGTTCTCAGCTTGACCTTGTAGCTCAGACGGTAGAGCATCGTTCTAGATATAGGAAGGTCGCGTGTTCGAATCCCATCCGCGGTCAAGTGGAATTTTCTGCTTGCCCGGTTTGGTATACACTCGTCTGAAAACAACTCAAATAACCACCACATAACGTTACACGAGTGGAATCGTAAACGTGGGAAACCACAACATTCACATACAACATTGCCAGACTAATAGCTGGCTTTCCGCATTGAAGGACTAACCTCTGAAATGCAACTAACATCATAACTTAACAAGTCGTTCTCAGCTTGACCTTGTAGCTCAGACGGTAGAGCATCGTTCAAGATAATTATACGAAGGTCGCGGGTTCCAATCCCAGCCGCGGTCAAGTAGAATTTTCTGCTTGCCCGGTTTGGTGTACACTCGTCTGAAAACAACTCAAATAACCACTACATAACGTTACACGAGTGGAATCGTATAAACGTGGGAAACCACAACATTCATATATCTATCTATCTATCTATCTATCTATCTATCTATCTATCTATCTATCTATCTATCTATCTATATATATATATATATATATATATATATATATATATATATATATATATATATATATGTGTGTATATATATATATATATATATATATATATATATATATATATATATATATATATATATATATATATATATATATATATATATATATATATATATATATATATATATATAAAGTTATTTTGATATGCTTTGTAAAAAGCAATAAACAGCCCCTTTGTAAGGGCTGATTACATGAGCCAGGCTAGCCCGGCCCACTTGTTTCTTTCGCAACTTACTGTGGCTTCAAGACTCGCATGGAATAAGGCTGAAAGGAATATAGCAGTTTTATGTTATATGCAAACTTGCCGCAGAGTTAATTAAAACATTCTGTTGTGGCCAAGGAAAGATTTTCGTGACTTAAATCAGCCCGGTTAGCCGGGCTAGCCCGGCTCATGTAATCAGCCCTTAAATATAGAAATTTGACTGCCATTTATAGACAAAATAAACAAGCCAAGGCCTGTATTGCATATTACAATGATTACAATTGTACAAATATACAGCACAGCATGCCTTGCTTAGCTACTGAATATATACTGTTTAGGAAACCTACTTTTACATCTAAACTTCTTAATTTTTCACGTTTTGCATGCAGTTCCCTTTCTTTTTCATTTATCTTTACATTTACATCATGGATCTTCTGCGTTTCCTTCAAAATATTCTCTCTCTTTTCTTTCTTTTCCTTCTGGAACACGACAACATTGCCAAATTGAAGTGAGATCTTGAGCGGATTACTCTGAACAGAAAGACGTATTTGAAAATATAAAACGATACATTTCAAGAGCAAGACACAAACTTCAAAATAACAGCAAATAAAAAAAATATTGACTTGCCTGTAACGATATTTGTGAAGCCCAAAACATGCTATTCTTCCGCTTGAGTGTCGATGTACATATTTTCGAAAAATTGCTTTATTGTAATGGCTTCAACAATAACCTTCAGTTAGGAGTTCGTAGCCAAGTTTGGTATCAATCGAAAGCCTGAAATATGCCCTTTCCCCTTGCCTTCCTCAGATAACTCTTAAAATCCCAAAAAGGCTTCTGGGAAGTGAAAAAAGTGCGCCAAATTTTGAAAATTTCCAAAACAATTACAACTTTGTTTCCAAGGTAACTGGAGCAGGCGCGCGGGTCGCGCGAACAACGCGCGTTTTGATATATATCTGTGCCGTCGTGTAATGTACCATGATGCATTTAATAGTTGTGTTTACACTACCAGCCTTGGCCACATTTTGACTGTGTAAACAGACTTTGACCTAGCCTTGGACTTGGCCTGACCTAAGCCAGGAAATCTGGGCTCACCACAACCGGTAGCCGAGAGCTGACCTAAGCCTAGTCTTGTGGAAATGTAAACACTTTCGGCCCTGGCCGGGGCCTTCTTTTCATGGCAACATGTGTCCACAGTGACAGATTAGCGGACAGCCAGCGGACAATGTCACAACACATAAAAATACACAAAATTAATAACAAAAATCTTGGCCAAAGTGAGCCTGTCTCAAAAACATAGTGTAATGGTGTAAACGTGCCACATTTATTTACCTTGGCCTGGCCAAGGCTAGGCCAAGGCTTGTAGTGTAAACACGACTAATTTTACTCTCAGTCTAACCCGGCTAGTAACCCTAGGTGATTTTACTTGTCAAGGGAAGAGAGCTGGCACTGAATGACTTGAAAGACCTTGGAAATCCAGGGGAGAGGCGATTAAAAGAACAGGATACACAATTAAATACTTAAATTCAATCCATGTAAATGCTAATCAGAAATATGCATTGAACTGATAATCTATTATTAATCAATTATCCATGTTGGGCCAACAGTTTTCTGATTCAGATAGATAACATTGTGATTTCCTCAAGTTTAATTAATACTCTCAAATAATTTTTATGTTTTGACTTAAATAGGCTTGTAGCAAAGCCATATTTATATTCATATTCACATAATTTTCACATATTATTTCAAATAATATACTGTGTCGGTTCAAGGATGCTTTCTCGAGTTTTGTCAAACAAGTGCAACCCAGTATTTACTATAATGTGCTTATTCAAAACTTGAATTGTTGGTTTTAACTAATATTTGGCGGTATTGAAATGAAATAATTTCAATATATAAAAGCTCGCGCGCGCAAATTCAAATTTTAGCAGCCACAACAGGCTAGTACAACCACAAGATAAAATGAAATATTTGGGTCAATGGACGTTATAATTATATGATATAAAGAGTAATAATACATACCTGAGATCAATACGTCTTTGGCAAGACTTAGAGTCAGTTATCCAATACGAAATATAACTTTTCTTGAGCGAAATATATCCAAACGAAAAAGTCGAAAATTTGCAAATCACACATTCACACTTGACATTTGATACGCGATATCTCACAACTCATTGCGCGCATGGCCCTTGTCTTCTATAATAGATACATCAAAAGCGCTCCCTAGCTTTACTATGCCGTTTTAATTAAAATAATATTAAAACTTCATTTTAAAATTTTTCTCAGATTTTAAGAGTATTATTCTAGGTTGGAAAAATGTTATTTTTAAAATAAGAAAAAAAATTTCGAATATTACAATTCTTGCATGCCTTGTTCTCAAAACAAGATTTTTAGTTTTCTTGAGATATTGCTTGATAAGAAATTATGAACGATAAGAAAAATGATCTATAAACTAGAAATTGATGTCTTGCAGCGCATGCATGTATGATTTTATGTGAAATTTCACTTTTTATTTCATGTGAAATCCTTTTACATATGAAATTTTACTTGTATGACTTCATATACGATCCTTTAACATGTAAAATTTCATTTGTTAACGTTCATGTGAAATCCTTCAAATCACATATGAAATTTCGCTTGGTAGCCAGGGCCGTATCATCCCCCAAAGAAAAGTAAAAAAGGGCCCAACTTGCGGAGAGGGGCCCCCGGAAAACTGGAATTGGGGAACGTGTTAAATATTAAGGAAATTTCTGGAAAATGGGTCTAAAAAGGTCTTCAAAACTAAATTTAAGCACCCATTATGTACACTTAGTGCTTGAAAACATTTTTGGGACCTATTTTGCGGAAAATTTTTTTTGTTTCTGAAAAATTTCTTTTGGGTTGGGGCCCAAATGAGAGGGGGCCCAAATGTTTTATTTCACCCCCCCCCCAACCAAAAACCACTTGGCACGGCCCTGCTTGTAGCTTTATGTGAATTCTTCTCACATATGAAATTTCACTTTTTACTTCATATAAAATCCTTTCTCATGTGAAATTTCACTTGTAATTTTTAATTTCATGTGAAATCCTTTCACATGTGAAATTTCACTTGTAGTTTCATGTAAAATCCTTTCACATGTGAATTTTCATTGTAATTTATAATTTCATATCAAATCCTTTCACATGTGAAATTTCACTTGTAATTTCATGTGAAATCCTTTCACATGTGAAATGTCACATGTGATTTCATGTGAAATCCTTTCACATGTGAAATGTCACATATGATTTCATGTGAAATCCTTTCACATGTGAAATATCACATGTGATTTCATGTGAAATCCTTTCATTTGTGAAATTTCACATGCGATTTCATGTGAAATTTTTTCACATGTTCAATTCCACATAAGATCACATAAGATCACATAAGTTACAGGCATATGGTGTTCGAAATAGAGAATTGACATGGTTTACAGACTATTTGTTCGGACGACAACAATATGTTAAACTTGGAGGCAATAAATCGTCAAACCAACCTGTTTTTATTGGAGTTCCTCAGGGGTCAGTGCTGGGACCTTTGTTATTCCTAGTGTTTTATAACGATCTTGTTGACATAGGGATAAACTCACGTATTATAAAGTATGCCGACGATACTGTTATCTATTGCTCTGGAAAAAATAAAGAAATGATAGAGAAAACACTGTCAAGCGATATGGATGTAATTCAATTCAATTCAAAAAAGGCTTTTTTTTTTTTTTTTTTCAATTCAAAAGTCTTTTTAATAGATCAAAAGATAAAAATACATATCTTATGTTACAAGTATATATTAAGAATACATTAGTAAAGTTTACATCATATGAATAGGTTATAGTTAAAAATTAATCTATTTGCAAATGACAATTTAAAACGTTCCGTGTTTACTCTTGGATACTGACTAAACTCTGTCCTCAAAGAGTAGCTTGTGGATTTTTTTCTTGGTATCAAGTCGACTATGGCACTCTTCTGATTTACAGAAGCCTTAAAAATATTTCTGTCTTGTATTTCTAAAAGATATCTAATATTTACAGGTTCTGATATATACTTTCGCTTAAAACATCTGTCAAAAACCCGTTGTAGAGTATTGAGTTCGGCTGGAGAAGAACCGTAGACGGACAGGCCAAACGTTATAGTAGATATTACTAGGGTCTTAAATAGATAATCTATCTCACATTGGCTATAGCCTTCTGCCCTGAGTGTTCGTATAACGTACAAGCATTTGTTTGCTTTGATCAATTTACCTCGCACATGACTGGTGAACTTGAGATTGTCTTGAAAAGTAGTACCCAAAATGGGAAGTTCTTTGCATTGGGGTATATTATAAACATTGTCAAGTTGATCATTATATCCCTTCTTCCGGATGATAAGCTCTTTACATTTACCAGGGTTACAAGTCATAAAATTATCATCAGACCAGCTCAGGAATTGTCCAACTGTATCTGTTGATGTATCAGGACCCTCACTCCAAACTGGCACTATTATATTTGAATCGTCCGCATATTTAAAAAGAGCGTTCTCGCCGTCTATGTCCACCTCTAAATCATTTAGGAAAATATTAAAAAGGTAGGGGCCA